GTGGAGTTTGCAACCCCTGAGAACAAGCAGAGACCTCTTAACAAAAGGCTCACCAGTTAATTCCCCAAGACGTCCTGTGAGATAAACACCAATGGCAAAGTCTATCTCTGATGATAGCTAACCTTCTTGACAGAGTAAACTGAGGAGAACCCTGAAAAAAACCAACGCAGATGGAAAGTAATAAGTTCAGACACTTCCTTAGCAGTCAAACACCAATTCTCTATTTTGTATGTCCTACGAGTCTGGGACTTGCCCATAGTATCTGAGAAAATAATAGCTGCATGGTCCGAGAATAAAATTGGCTGATGTGACACATTTAAATCTAGGTAACAAAGAAACCAATCTAAAGTTGCATAAGCCCGATGTAAACGCTCAAAGGTTGGGTCCGACTCAATAAGACCATTAGTCCAAGTAAACCGAGGACCAATAAAAGGAACATCAATAAGTCCCAATTCAACCGCCAGTTAATAAAATCAAGTCTGCCATGAATAGTTTCGAATCCCCCAATTTTATTAGACAGGTATTCAACCTGATTAAAGTCTCCAATCAACAATACATTAGGGTGAAATCTAACAAAGTTAGAAAGTGAAGTCCAAACGTCCAATCTATCAGCCAAACGAGGCGCACCGTACACAAACACTACATATTTTATTTCATTTCCAACAGAAATTTTACAAGCTACTAAGTTTGGAGATATGTACATTGGAACCACCAACAACGGTGCAAGCCAAAAAACTACCAACCCACAACTTAAACCTACTGCATCTAAACCACAACTACCCAAAATAGGAATAGATGCTACGCTTTGTATAACTTTATCTACAGGAAGCATGGTTTCCAAAAAAAAACAACATCCAGACCGTAAGAGCGGACTAAAGACAGTATGTATGGAACCTTAGGGGAGTCCACTTGTCCAATACCCCTATAGTTCCATGCTCCGAATCTCATTCCGACCTTGGTGGCTCAGGAGGGGGAGCCCCCGAACCCACATTAGAAGAGCTGCCAGTAGAATCCGATCCATCGAGACCCTTACGTTTCTTAAACGGCAGAACACACGGCAAAAACCCAGAAGAGCACACATTGCCCACTTCGGAGGGTGGGAGAGGAGGCGCCGATGGCACCACCGCAGAAGCAGCTCTTTTCGCCGGACACACTAAAGTAACCTAGCGCACCCATTTAATCACCTTCTTCTTAATTGGCGAACAGGATCGGCGCACAGCATTCCCTGTAGATCGCAGTGACTCATCTAATGCACGAGCAGTCATAGAAGTCAAAGTCGCCGAGGAGGAGACAGTTGGAGACGTTGGGCCAATCGGAGAGTCAGAACTTGCCGATGAGTAATCCATAGGGACCGCTTCATCTGAAATTAGAGAGTGGGCCAAAGAACCCACCTCATCAGGAATAGAAGAGTGATCCATAGAACCCACCTCATCAGGAATAGAAGATTGAGAAGGTGATGAAGACTCATCAGATTGAAAATTCGATGAAAAAGAGAACAACCTAGAAGACGAATCTGCCGCATACCCTGAATTTGTTGAAAGAGTCACTGGAAAGGAGCGAGAAAGAGATGGATTGGGAGATGGTGGAGTGAATTCTTCCCCCATCCAATTACTAGGCCCTGCTCCAAAAGGATCCTCAAAGAATAGGCCCGAAGGACCCAAGGGAGGAGGAGAAAAACTGGCCTCAAATAAGCCCATATCAGGGACAACTTGATCCATTAGAGAGATATGGGAAAAATGATCCATATCATAAGAAAGGCCCAAATTAGATTTGTGCTGACCCACTGGAGATGAAACATGATAACTTGGACTACCTTGCAAATCGTTGTTGGGCCGGCCCAACTGAGGAGTTGAATTAATATTACCCATAACTTCAGAAGACACAACTCGAGAGTGCAAACCCCACGTGCTAGTATTTTGGCTCCTTTCAGAATCTTGAGTCGATCTATGCTCTAGATGAGGACGAGAAAAAACCTGGCGGTATGGGTCCCTATTCCTTACAGATGTTCCCAAAAACCTCTGCAAAGCTCCACCGGTTACCGAAGAATGTTGGCGGCTCCATCCATTAACACATGTATCTTCATTTTGCCATCCTCCCATGTATTGCCAAGGTGCATTATAAGGAGTTGCATGTCCATCACGTGGCGCCCTCTTTTCTTCATGATTAACAATCTCCAATTGCTCCTTAATCACACGATTAGGCCCCAAATCCATACTTAAGACTTCATTATCAACAGAGCGGAAAGCACTTGGTGATGGAGGCGGAAATAGTCCTGGAATACTAGCCACCGACCTTGAAGAGCCCGAACCTCCTGAAGATTCAGATGGCGAGTCTAATAAGGAGACCCCTAGCAGACGTGTCCCAGAATCATCATAGTCTGAAGGATGAGAATCTGCACCATATTCCGATGGGTCATCATCATCATGAACACCAAACCAAAGTTCTGTAGTCCTTGATTCCGGGGAAGGACAAATCCCTCGAAGAGAATCCGAATACAAGTCTAGGTCTATTAGGCCAAAGAGCACATGCTCACCTTTATCATGGATTTGACGATAACGACGTTCCAAAGGACCCTATATTTTATTATAGTCTTTTGCGCACGAGGTAGAACCATGTCCGGCAAATCCACACTTTCTACAGAATCTAAAAATACCCTCGTATTGAAATCTAACCCACGTGACATGATTGTCGTACGTGGGGAAATAACAACCAGCAATCAAAGGCAACGAAAGATCAACTGATATTTTAACTCTAGGATCAGGAATAGGAAACTGACCATTAGATTCGTCCACGTTTGTTACGTCACCCACTTGAGCTAATACAACCGCCGCCACTTAAGGAGTGGAATAACGAAAAGGAAGGCCCACCACGCTCACCCACAGCTCAGTAAGATGAAGATGAAGATTCATAGGAACTACATGTTCTCGAAGGCGCTGTAACACAATCATGATTCCTTTAAAATGGACCCACCCTCTAGCATCTAATTCATTAGCATCTTCAGTAGATTCACAACTGAAAATAAGGTCTTTACCATAATTAAACACCGTCACCGAACCTCGCAGATGCCAAAACCGAGCCACTAAGCGTTGGTATAATGAGAAGGAGAAATCCCTGTCATCCCACGCACGACCAATAACACAGCCATCCTAGTTAATAGGAGCTTCTTCTTCTATAATTGGAAGAGGTTCAAAGTTTTTACCAATATAGTGAGGATACACAAAGGTATTAGGATGGAGGTAGCGAGACATCTTTGTAGAAAGTTACACAAAGAGACAAGGAGTTGGAACACTATGGCTTTAAACTTAAAAAGAGAGAGGACTCGACACACTTAAGAACTAGAAGACTTTGAGAGTTTCTCTCACTAACTACTTTCTCTCACTAGAGAGTTTTAAGAAAACATATATATATTTAACTTACTAATAAAAAGTTAACAGCTATAGTTTTTTATTGTAATTTAATACAAATAAAAATCGTGACTAATATGATTCCATTCCTAATCTTAGGTTGTAAAATTAGTTATTAGTCAATTATGATCAACGAGTCATCATTAAATTGTCCAAATTAATTACTTCCTCCGTGCCTACATTACATTTCAACTTCTAGCATTTATTCTTCACATAGTAGAGAGAAGTAGAAATGTAATTTAGGGACGGAGGAAGTATCATTAAATATGAAACATAATAAAAATAGAACAAAGTATTGGGTGCGGCAAGGTTTCGTCAATCGAGAAGGTATCATTGTCATCTTCTAGCGATGAGAAACAAGTTTCCACCCGACGACAAGTTCCTGGTGGTTATGGCGAAGGAGAGAAGCGAGGTCACCCATGGCGGAAGAGAGAGAAAGTTTAATTGCTTGAGATTCTCAGATTTTTCGAAAAATGCCCAAAAAATCGAATTTGGGCTTTCTTATGTGATGTATAATTGTTGAAATTGATTGTCCTAAATGATTATACGTTGAATTGTTAGCATTTTGATAATATATGCATGTATTTTGGTTGAGAAACGAGCAAGTTATGTTATAACCATGACCTTTAGTACGAGATCTTCAATATAGGTTTCGCTATTGTTATACATATCCTCGAACAAGTTATACATATCCTCCATCAAATAATTTATATTTTCTAATAATTTGTACATATCTTCTACTGGCTAGATGATATTTCTATTGGCTGGATGATATCCTATATTCGTTGGATGATATCCTCTATTGGCTATATGATATAATGGCTGGATGATATCTTCTATTGGCTATATGATATCATTTATGATTGTGTCTATGTTATCCTTTATTGGCACTACTACAAAAAACCCCTATCGAGTCGCCTCTAAACCATCTTACACATCGCTTCAAGGGCGACACTACAGGCACCGACACAATAGGTACCCCCCTTACGTGTCGCCTATGGCCTGACGCATTAGGTTGGTTTGTGAGTCGCCTATTTCATTACAGGTGACGCATTAGGTTGGTTTATGAGTTGCCTTTCTCATTACAGGTGACGTGTTAAGTTGGTTTATGAGTCACATTTTTCATTACAAGTGACGCGTTAGGTTGGCTTATGAGTCGCCTTTTTCATTATAGGCGACGCATTAGGTATATTTTATGAGTCCCCTTCTTTTTATGAGGCGATGCGTAAAGTGATTTTTTGAAAAGTATAATTCTTCAATAGCGATACCTAAAATACAATTTTTTTTTTCTTTTTCCTCATTGAATTCACACTTGCCAGTATAATTAAAACCTATGTAGGACTTGAACCTACATCTATGTGCAATAGCACATTGTTCTACCATTTGAACTAATAGGCTTTTGAAAACATTTATGGCAAAACTTCTATAAAAATAACATTAGAAATATAAACATAAACATAGACAACATATAATAAAAAAGATAAGTGACAATAAGCCTTGACCATCATGCACTAACGATTGTAGGGAGAATTGTACCCATTATACCTTTAATGATAAGACTTCATTACTCCTAAACAAATAAATAAAGTAATGGCATTTAAGATACAATCATAGCAGTGCTTTAAATTACCAAAAACATATCATTAAAACCCACAGATGATCCTCCAAACATTATAACATGCTTCCACACTACATTTCACCATGAGTTTAACAATCAAAATGATAAGGTCAGCATCACAAAAACCTCTCTGTACTACAACAATATCATTAAGAGATCCAACCATTACATTACTTTACATAAACTTAGCAATGAATTAAATGAAATGACCATAGCTAGCATAAGAACTACGACTTGAAACAAAGCATACTAATATAAATTCACAGCTCTCCTCACAAGCATGACATATGGCATTGAGTGCATCAGGACAAATATACTATAAGAAGAACCATCTCAGTACTCTATGGTTTGTGCGTACCTTAGTGGAGTCAAGACAGTTTTTTATGAGATTCTCATATGATCCAGGCAAAAGTGCAAGACCCATGTTTTCATGCATCTCTTTGAATTTCAAACTAACATCCTCAACCTTTAAAGAGAAACATTAGGCATCTTAGAAACAAGTCAAATTAGTATATATCTAATCTTAGCATTTTATGATCAATAACAACAATCACTTTAAGGTAAAAAGCCATGAATTTTCATCTTTATGGAGGAATAAGAGCATAGCTATCACCATACAAAATTAGGACTCATATTCTCTAAATTGTATGTCACAATAAGCTGTCATAACACTATAGAATTAAGCTTCATTTTAATGTCAAAATAGAGTAATGTACAATGAAGCAGGCTTATCACTAGTCACAAGCCACAAAAAAATTGTAGTTTTCTTGCGACATAGATAATTAAATAATAAACCGTAGAGAGCATAATCTTCTATACGAAGTGTTTGTCACTTTATCTATTCAAGATAATTAAAAAATTAAGCAGCCTTTGCCCATACAGAGACCCTAGAGAGCATGATCTTCTAGATCAAGTATTCAATGTTGAAAACTTGAATTCCTTCATGCCAAGCATCATTAAAAAAACATAAGCATACATCATACAGCTATATGAGGCAATTTCTAAGACAATGTTTGCAGAATATACTACTTCAAGGAACAGAGAGATACTCCTTCACATATACTAAATCAAAATACTTTCCTAAGAGTATATTGTCATTTCCAATATTCATAACAATTCTAATGAGAATTCTGCATTCTAATGATATGAATCAATTTCGTGCACTATTTCCAATAGTCATAACAATTCTAATTCAACAAAAACAACTTATTAACCATCACATCATATAAAACCCGTGTTTGACCCCATAACATCATCGAAAACCATAGCAATTTGTACGCCAAAATTGAACAATATATGCTATAATTACCTATCACAACATTCTACAATTGCATTAACCTCCTCTTCAAATTGATCTAATGCCTAAAAAATCAATAAAAAAAACCAAAAATTAATCTTCATAATCTCATACAAACAACATCACAATTCCTAATTGAGAGAAATTGACAAAGAACGGACCTGCTGCGACACATCGGAAGCGCTGAGAAAGTCATGATTGACAGAAAGATGCGCTTCTTAATGGTAGATCCGAGGTTACGACGCGCCTGAGGAGAGTTGTCAGAGTAGAATGTATAAGTGTGGAGAGAGAAGTGACAAGTTTCGGAGAATCGAGTCGAGATTCTAGAACCTTCTTTAGCTTTCTGATTAATCCTACTATCAATGTCGTTGTTCCCATTGATGATTGCTTATCTTATCAATTTGTCTGATTGATTGAAGATGAAGATTGATTCGCTACAAATGTGCAGAATCTGGAAATTGTTGATGAACTTTTGGGGAAAATATTAGGTTTTTGAGCCGTAATTGAAGTGAGTTTGGTGATGAAATGGGGGAAATATTCAGATCTTGAGCAGATCTTGAATGTTGGAGAGTAGAGACTCTAGGAAGAAGATGGAGATGAGAGTGTCGCGAACAATGTTGAGTATGGAGGAGTAAGGTAAGAGGCGAAGAGAGGAAGGAACAAAAAGACTAAGGGAATGAATGAAGGAGCCGATGAGAGAGGGACAAAAAAGATAAGGGAATGAATGAGGTTTCTAGGGTTTTTGCTTGCTGTCAATAAAAAATGGGCAAAGGTGTCGCCTGTAATAATACAAGACTATAGGCGACTCGTAAAGTAATACTTTATGAGTCACACATGATGAAAGACGGGATGCGTATAGGTAACGTGTCGCCTATTATAGTGTAGGTGACGTTTATGACTTTCAATTTATTTTTAGATGCCTTTTATGTGTCACATGCTTTGTATGAAGCGACTCTAAAACCTTACGTATCACATATCAATTTGAGGCGACTTTAAAAGGGCGACTCCGTAGGGTGTTTTTGTAGTAGTGTGGCTTGATGATTTCCTTTATTATCTATATTATATCATGATTGGATGCTATCTCCTATTAGATAAATTATACTTCCTCTGTTTTTTTTTTACTTGACTTGTTTCTTTTATCACGTTTGCCAATGCAAAACTTTAACGATCAATAACTTCAATTCTCCATAGGTAAAAATCATAAATGTTATATATTATGATAGTATTTATTGAGACGAATTCAAAAAGTTCTTTCATGAATATGTTTTTCCTTACATATTATTCACAAAAGACGGTCAAAGGAGGAGTAGTGAATAGTATAAAAATCAAAGCGGCTCAAGTAAAAAAGAACGGAGGAAGTATCATCCAGCTAATAGAGGATATATCATCTAGCCAATAGAGGATATCATCCAAGCTTTAGAAATATCATCCAACCAATAAAGGATATCAAATAGCTAATAGAGGATTTCATCCAGTCAATAGAGGATATCATCCCGCCACTTGAGGATATCAAAAATCCGTATTTCGTCAATTCGGACTAACTTCCTCAGTGGACTAACGTAATACCTTCTCTAAATAGTAATACTAATATACTTATGACGGTTACTATAAATCATAATATATAAAATTCAATGTAATTATTTATTTATTAGAGATTATAGATTCAATTAAAACTAACTCGAGCTTATTAGATTTAATTAAAACTAAGTCGAGCTTATTAAATTTAATTAAAACTTATTAGGATTTATTAAAACTAATTAAAATAAGTTGGACCTCACCGAACATATTGGATCTGTTCAAATATGTGGATAGTCTTTTTTCCCAATTTAAATTAAACTTTTTTTTTTGAAAGAAATTTAAATTAAACTTAGTAACGTAGAGATTATTTTTTTTGAGAAAAGAATGCAACCTTATTAACCCTTTTCTACTTAGTTTAATACTAGCTTTTATAGTATGTGATACGTGCATTACACATTGATAAAAAATTTAAATAATAAATTTTAATAATATTTAAATTTAAAAAATCAATGAATTATGATGAATAAAGCTTAAAGATACTCGAATATGTTGAAAAGTTTAATCTAAAAAAATAGATAATATAAAGTAAACCAACCAATCATAGATAACTAGTTTTTGGACCCGGGCGATGTCCCGGGTTAATGCATGAACTAACTGATCATTAATATACATTGTAATTTATGATTTTATTTTCTTGTAATTAAATTTGTTATTCATATTGTCATTTGCTACATATTAATATTTTGTATTCAAAAGATTACATAAAGAATCACGTAGCTTGGTGGTAAGACATTTAGTTCTTAAATTAAAGTTGTGAGTTCAAATCTTGTGGAGAACTTTTTTTTATAATTATTATGAGTGCATGACATGTAATGTAAATCAATGAAAAAAAAGCCACGTGGCATTATGATTACTTGAATGTATGACGTGGCGTAGTGAGAGGAGCTTACGTGACACGTGGACGTTGTTAGAAACGCCTTGTAATATATTAGTATAGATATAGAAGATTGTTACCAAAATGCGTAGATTCAATTATTATAGAGTACATATGTAACTAGTAGCTATTCAATTAATGTAACCAACAATAATATCTTAGGGTGAGGGGTAACTCAAGTGGTTAGAAATTCTCACCCGATGCTAGGAGATAGTGGGTTCAATTCTCAATCCCGCCCTAATGGCTCTCTAAATACAATTTTAAAAAATCAATAATATCTGATCAATTCCTTATTAAGGATAAAAATAATGTGCAAGATAATAAAAGTAAAAAAGAAAAAAGATAAGGTGGATATATCTATACTACGTGCATTACACAATAATATCCCGTGCGAAGCACGAATATTATAAAAATAAGAAAAAAGATGTATGCGACCCTAAGGGCTGCATATAAGGAGCTAAAAGCGGAAAGAATAGACAATAAATAAACATTTATTACACCGATTTATCGATAAATTCTCAACTTAATACTACAAAAGGAAGTATGTTAAATTCTTATATGCAACCCTTATGGCTGCATGTAGCATTACCCTAAAAATACTCTATAATCGTTTACATTATCAAATCATATTATCACTAATAAAAATATTTAAAATCTTTGTATTAACATAAATAAAAATGCAAAAATTAAAATAATTTTATCAAAAGAAAATTTATGTCTACAACAGAATTTAGTGAATTTGTAATTAGAAGGAGTAATCACATAAAAGCATGGTTAACATTTGCTCTCTTTAAGATAATCTATATGTAACATTTTTTTTGGAGGGAATATACTTAATGTATTATATAAAAGTATTTTGTAGTTAATATTAGCTTTTCTAAAATAAATAAATAAATATATATATATATATATTAATATTAATAAAGTGAAGAAAATTGGAAGAGAAAAAAAGTTTGAGAGGGAAAAAATTGAAGGGAAGCTGACATGTGTACAATTTAAAAAAAAAAAGATGATATCAACGGTTGTTATTTTAGTATTAACTAGTTTTTTTCCCCGTGCAATGCACAGATTTATAGTAATACACTACTTATAAACAAAGAAAAATAAAAAAGTCAATTAAATGAATTGAAATAAGTTTAAATGAGATGACTTATATAATTTTTTATTTATTTAAATTCATTTAATGTCCACCCTTAAAACTCTATTGTTAAATATTAAATGGAAAAGGCTAATGAACGCCCCGAGGGCGTTGGATAAGCTAGTTAAAAGTAGAATGATTAAATTAAAATTAACATTAATCGACGCATGATTTTGTCATGCTTTCCCAAATTAATACCACTTTAGGTAAGATTTTAAATGTTTATCCAATGCCCCGGGGGCGTTCGTTAGCAAGATACATATTAAATATATAATTTAAAATATTTTTATAAATTATTGTAAGTTTTTATCCAGTAACTTTTTCTTTTTTTCATTCTATTTTTTAAAGAAATAAATAAATAAAGTGGCTGGAAAATTTTTGTTATGAATGCGACAAGTGTCATTTAGGGATAACTATGGTGATTATTTTAGTATATAGTATAGATTATAGATAGATAGATCGATTATAGATATAGGTGCCAGATGGCGCTCTCCTCATTTTACTACACCCGTAAGGTTAAGCCATGTGGCACTCTCTCATTTGATTCGATTTCACACTTTATTTAAAAAATATGGTTCTTACAAGATTTGAACCCATATCCTTAAGCTTAAAGTTTAAGGTACTAGCCAGCAGTAAGCTATTATTTTTTACATGCCAATCTATTAAATTTAATATTAATAGAGATTTTTATCATGAAAATAATGTAGTAACACAAGGTATCGTCCGTGCCTAAAAACTAGTTTATACAACCTCTGTTAAATGTTATGTGCAAATTTGAAATATTTTATATCTCGCAAATAATACCCCAAAGTTGCACATTACATTTAACGGAGGTAGTACATCAAATGAGTGAACGTACAATTAGATTAATAGATTATTTTATAGAAATCATTTAGGCAATTACTGATTTGTAGCAGAGAAAATAGATGAATTAAAAATCTTGTTGTGATTGGGAATATTTTGAGTTAATTGATAAGGGATTTTTTTTTTGGTGTTTAAAGAGCCACAAGGGCGGGGGTGATAAGGGAATTGATTCATTACAAATCACTGATTAAAACATCATAAATAACGAAGTATATATTTGATTTAGAAAGTTACTTGATTGTAAATTTGTGAAAGTAGAAGATTATGGAGGATTTTTTTTCCACTTATTTTTCAATATTGTAGTGTAAGACAAGAGGGGCATTAGTGTTTTTTTAGATAGTCAAGAGGGGTATTAAAGTCTTTTTAGATAAACACCACAACTCCTCTCTTGTCTTATATAATAGAGATGAATATTTAATGGTGCATAATAATAGAGAAATTTTTTTTTGGAGTAATAGAGGTAAGAATAATAAAACTCTTAGTTCGCTATTTAAATTAAGGGTACACAAGAACATATAAAAATAATAATAAAAGATAAAACATAAATAGATCCTACATTCAAATTTAAAAACCACCCCCTTAATTTTAATAGCTTTCAACTAAAACATATTTAATTAACTTTGAGTTGGGCAACGACATCCACCATTGAAGACCTAAGGTGGAAAATTGCCTCTAAAGGCTTTTCCTTAGGACCAATATTGCCACCACCTTTCACAGGTACATCCCAATCAAAACATTGGATAAGAGTAGCCAAAGCCAAAGTGATGTTCCTAATAGCAAAGGCGTTGCCGGGGCAAGACCTCCTGCCAATCCCAAAGGGGAAAAATTTGTACCCTTCGGTCTCATACGCAAACCTCTCCGGCTTAAACACATTTGGCTCATCCCATAGGTTAGGGTCCCTTTGTATTGCCCAAGCATTGACATAGAGCATAGTGCCTTTTTTTACATGGAACCCTCCAATAATGCAGTCTTTGGATGAGTAATGTGGGAATAGAAGTGGTGCTGGTGGGAAAAGTCTTATAGTCTCATACATTATCCAACTTATGTAGTTCAATTTTGGCACATCGGATTCATCTACGAGTCTTCCTTTACCTACAAGTAGATCAATTTCTTCCCTTGCTTTTGCGATGATTTTGGGGTTGTCTATGAGGTTTGACATTGCCCAATCCAAGGTTTGAGTTGTAGTTTCCGATCCTGCTAATAGTTGCATCTGATGTATAGATAATCATATGGCATTTATTAGTTGCATCCCCTCCATTTATTATAATAAAAGGAAATTCTATTAATTCCTACTTTGTATTAATTCCTACTTTGTATTAATTCATATATAGTATGACATCACCACATTTATCAATTTTAATATTAGGGGTATGAGATACATAGTTGTTTGGGGATGATAGTTCACTTTGCCGGTCAAAGGTTTCACCACAAAATCATGTGACAACAAAATAAGTATCTTCTAATTATTAAAAAATATTGAACTGTCTCATTTTATTATGAAAAACTAATGTGGGATACTTATGATAGTTGTTTGAGAAGTCTATATTTCATTAAATATTATGATCCCCTCACAAATTTTACTTTATATTAACGCAAGTCCGTTTCTTGTAATGAGCCATTGGTTATCCCTTTTTGTGATAATGATGATTTTGATTTGTTGTGAACCTAAATTTCAGCAATAATAAAAATAAAGGTTACTTAAAACAACCAACATAGTCAAATTTTTTCCTTACAATTAATTGCTGCATTTACTACAATTTCTATAAAAATTATGGCAAATTATTAAGGTAAAACCTTTTGTTATATTGTTTTTAATCCTAAAAATATTCTAGTAGTTTAAAGAGTTTCTAGTTTTCTAAAGAATAATATTATCATTCCATTAATTTATGTTTTTTTACTTGCCATTTCATTATTCTTATTCACCACTTCACTGACCACATAAAATTTGTATCAACTTTTTATTTAATTTTTTTAACATATTGCGACCTTTATCAAGTTTAATTATTAAACTTTAATTATTAAGTTTTAATGTGAATTTAAATTATATATATGTTATTTATTAATTATGAACTTTCCTTTGATTCTATGTTATGATTCATGTATGTAAGCAGAAATATATTTGGATATTTTTTTTTAGATTAATCTTATTTGATCGAATAAGATAGGTGATTTGATAATAAAAAATAAGAAAATATCAACTTCCATATTTGAATGGAACATAGCATTATTGTATATTTTTCATCATAATTTTATTAATTGATTATCAATACTAATATCTAAAATTGAAATTATTGAAGTATGTTATCAAAGTTGAATTGTCAAAATTAACTAAAATTTCGAGAAATTCACACATTGTATTTTTCTGGAGGCAAAGGCAGGAAACTTACCAAAATGAAACTTTTAATAAATTCATCGGTGTAGCAATTAGGTTTAGCTTCTTGCATGTCTAGCAATTGTTCAATCAAAGTTTTTGTCGCAACTTCCTCATTACAAGATGATCTTCTTAAACCTTCTCTACATTCATCAAGCAAATTTTGTAAATATTCATCCCTCTTCTTCCAAAGCTTTTTCAATTTTCTCTCACTTATCCATCCAAAACCTACCCACTTCAAGATGGGAAAGTAATCACACATTGTCATGGAACTAGGGGGTGTCAAATCCATGTTATCCCATGGCTTCCCATTTATTACCCTCATCACAAAGCTATGTGCCACCATATCAAAAATTTTATTTAAGTTCACTTTTTTGGTCCCACCCTCGGACTTGGTTAGAATCTCTAAGATCATGTTATGGATCTCAATTTTTCGGCTGGGGCTTGCTTCATTAACCTTACGAAAGGAAAACATAGTTGTGGCCCCAACACGTCGGAGATTTCTCCAATGGTCCCCATACGGGGACCATATGAGGATCGAAAAGTTGTAGCCTAAAATCTTACCAACAATGAAGTTAGGTCGGTCAGCAAATACGATGTCGTTTTTGTTGAGGCATTCCTCAACAGCCGATGGAGAAGAGATTACTAAAAGGGGCTGGAAGCCCAAACGCAGAGAGAAGATTGGGCCGTAACGTTCAGAGAGGGTAAGGAGTGTTTTGTGGAAAGGGGGCTTGAGTAGGTGTAGGTGGCCCCATATAGGAATTGATGGTGGACTTGGTGGGAGGTTCATGTTTGCTTTAGAGGGCCAAATGATTTTGTAAAGGAAGACTATTATTACAAAGAGAGATGGGAACAGGTACATTTTCTCCATTTCCATGGATTTTTGTTGTATGAATATGGGTGTTTGTGATAAGGATGTCGTTTTATTTGAAAGTGAAAGAGAGTATATATAATCAAAAGGGCAAAAGGTTAAGACATTAGGCCATAAAAAATATGTGGTCTTAGGTACTGGTCAAAGATGATGACAATGCATGTGAGACATGTGGCCTATAAGCTTGTGGCAGTTAAGGAAATAATAATAATACAATATTTTTTAGGAAATTAAAGATTCATAACATGAAAGGAAGATATTTAAGCTTAAAAAAGGGTAAGATGAGATTATATCCTTAATTGATTATTTTTGAAATGTAGTAAACATTTATTGAGGAATCATAAAACTGAATATCATAAATTTCCCAAATTGATAAACATTTAATTTTTTCATATTTTGACTTTTACCACACAAAAAAAAAAAAAAAAATCAAAAAATTATTTTTTACCACCAAAACTTCTAAAACTTTTATTTTACCCCTACTGTCAAGAAAACCGTTAAGTCTTAACAGTTTAAAAAAAAATTCGAATTTTGAGCGCAAAACAATTTCTTCATAGGTTTAGGGGGCATTTTGGTCCATTAGATCCAATTTGATGTCAGAATTGACAAAAAATGATCGAAAATGCCTCGTTTTGCGTGTTTCACTCAAATTGAGGTATTTTAAAACACGCTAAACGAGGCATTTTTTATCATATTTTGGGAATGCTGACCTTAAATTTGGAAACAAAGGGCCAAAATACCCCCCAAAATCCCTAATTAAAATGTGTTTGACACGAAATTCGAAAAATTCAAAAATTTCGTGGGGTTTTTTACAACAGGTGGTAAAAAAACAAATTTTAATTGGAAAAATGGAAACTAAAAATTCAACCTTTGCACGGTCTGACAATAAAAATCCAACCTTTCATTAATTTCAAAAAAATCCAACATTTGCACCCCGCCTTCTCCAACAGATTCATTTGACCTTTAACCTATTAAACAGGTTAAAAAGTTTTTATTTTTATTTCTCTTAATTTCCCTTCTCACTCCTCTTCTAGTCTTTCTCTCCTAATAAACAAAAACAACCCACCAATTCTGCCACCCCAACAACCCACCAAATTAAAAAACCAGAAACAACCCCAACAACCCACCACAAAACTGAAACAACCCACCACCTGCCGCCCCGAAACCCGCAAAACCCCAGCCCTAACACCAACCACCCACAAAACCCCAACCCTAACACCAACCACCCTAAAATCCCGACCACCCCAGCCACCAACGAAACTCGACCCCTAAACTCGCCCCCTATTTCTTCTTCAATCTGAATTGGCTGCTCCAACTTGGGCTTTGATTCCCTTTTTCAAACACCATCAAAATACATCATCAATCTTCATCATTGAATAACCACTGCTCATCATCACCGAAAATCGGAATTATCAAATAACCACCATTCGATCTTAATTAATGATATTTTTTTTTTTTTTTAATTTGGCTATTGTTGAATTGGGCGGCAATTGTGGTTTTGTGATGAGGGTAAGGGGGTGATTGGTGTTGTTGATTGGTGTAGCTGGTGACTATATTGTGTTGTGGACTGGTCAAGTGGTTGGTGTGGGATGTGCGTGAGATGATTGGTGTTGTGGTGGTGAGTGGTGGCAATGCATGTGAAGGTCGATGAAGATTCCGGGATGCGGTGTTCGGTGATTGTGGGGATGTTGTGCGTGAGTTCATCGGAGTGGTGTGGCTGTTCATCGGGTGATTGGGGTTGTTGATTGGTGTGGTTGGTGAGTTGATTGGTGTTGTGGGCACGCAGGGAAGGGAGGGAGGGGGAGAGGGAGTGGTGGCAGGGGAAGGTGGTGGTGGTGGAAAGGATTTTTGATTTTTTTTTTCTTTTGATTATTTTTCTTTTTTAATAATTAAAAGGATTTTTGTTGGCTGACACGTGACATATAACTTACAAATACCGGTCAACAACAGGTAATGGATCTTTATATGAAAGTGGGGTGCAAAGGTTGGATTTTTTTGAGATTAATGAAATGTTGAATTTTTATTGCCAGACCGCGCAAATGTTGGATTTCTAGATTCCATTTTTCCTTTTTAATTTTTTATTTGGTGGTAAAATAAAAGTTTCTGAAGTTTTGTGTGGTAAAAAAATAATTTTTTGACTTTTTTTGTGGTAAAAGTTAATAAAATTCTTAATTTTTTTATTGGAAAAATTTTTGTGACAAAATAAATAATAATACGAAGTATTTAATTTTAAGAAAAAGTTGGTAATGTAGTTTTAGACTTTAAAAAAATAAAAAAGAGAGAGAAGAAAAGTAGTTAATTTTTTGAAAAATGGAAACTAATAATCTCACCTTTGCTATTTCTACTCAAAACAATCTCACCTTTTCAAAATTTGGAAATACTCCCACCTTTAACCTCCATATTCTTAAAACAGGTCTTTTATCGATTTGTGAAATTAGTAACTTGCTTTAAAAAATGACTTGTCACATGTCATCTTCTAATTGGTCCATTTTTTTTCTTAAAAAAATAAACAAAACTAATCAAAAATTTCTTTTTTTTTTTTTTTTAAAAAAAAGCCTCCTTTCTGAATCCCGACCACCCAACAGCGCAACATCACCCATTGCTGCCGGCGAACTGTAGCCCCCCCCCCCTTCTCTCCGACGAACAACAGACCCTCCCCCACGAACAGAAGCCCCCCTCCCCCACCCCCATTCACCGTAATTAAAATAAAAAGAAGCACCTAATTCAAGTATGTCAACATTGAGTACAGGAATAGCTTCATCTAAGAACTATAACGATCCAATTTCTTAGTCAACAATTAGCGTAGTAATTTCTTGAACAATATGAATCCCCCACCCCAATTTAAGATCACAATTTCCACTTTTTAAAAAATGAATGCTAATTGATTTAACAAGGTTTTAGGGGTATCGTGGGTGGTCGGGCTTAAGGGTTTTCTGGGTGGCAGCGGTGGTTGGATTTCGGGTAAGGGTGGTCGGTTTAGGGGTTTTCGGGTAAGGGATGGTCAGATTTAGGGGTTTTCGAGTATGGGTGGTTGGATATAGGGGTTTTCGGGTATGAGGTGGTGGAGGGATGCTGGTGTGGTGGTGGCTATGGAAGGAGCTTGAAAGGGGGAGAATTAAACTTGAAGATGATAGTTAAAAATAAATAAATAATAAAAACAAAACAAAAACATTTACCTGTTTAATGGATTATAGCCTCTATAGGTCAAACGGCTTGTTTTGAGAATATAGAGGTTAAAAGTGGAATTGTTTTTAGATTTCGAAAAGATGGGATTATTTTGAACAGAAATGGCAAAGGTGCGATTATTAGTTTTCATTTTTCCTTAATTTTTTCGCTCATTGTTTCTCTTTAGAGTATATCCAATGGTAAGCTACAATACTTTTAGCATTTTTTTGGCACCTTGCCACATCAAATATTCAAACTATCTAGCATATTTTGTACGTAGCTATAAACTACTTCAATGGTTAATTCTTGCATATTCTAGATAGGAAGAAAAATAAATAAATAAGTTTTTATTTTATACATGTCATATTTTAAATGGGTGATGTTATCTTTGAAAAATCGAGCAACGTTATACTATCTCCATTTCATATTAGTTGCAACTTTGGAATACTTTATGTCTCACAAATAATATCTCAAAATTGCAACTAATATGAAACGGTGATAGTACATCAATTTACCACTCTAATAGTAAAAAGCTACATGTTTGCAATTTTAATTAATTTGCTAGCAAGTCCCTTATTGTATAACATCGGAGATGCTCTTACATCAAATTGTCTCTAAAGCATTGGATGTGAGGTTGCATACTAATCACTTCATTACTTAATAATTGACTAACTGTTATTGACATGAGTTTAAGAAAATGATAGGCAATGATCATAAAATGAGCTCTATAATGTAACATAGAGTTAGTGGGTTTGTTTTATTTTATCTAAGATATGGTATATGTAGCACTGTCAAAAACCGAACTGAACTGGTGAAACCAAACCGTTTCAACCGATCCGAATGAGAACCGAACCGATTAAAAACGGATTTTATGAAACCGAAAACCGACCCGAACCGCATGTTAGTAAAACCGAAACCGAACCGATCCGAGTAAACGTTAAACCATTTAAGAACCGAACCAAATCTAAACCGAACCGCTTCTAACCCGAAACCGTTTAAACTGGCATAAAAACCGTTTACACCGAACCGTTAACAAACTGCAACCCGTTTGCACCAAACCGCTTATAAACCGAACTGATTATAAACCAAACCGCTTATAAACCGAACCGTTTATGAACCGAATCGCTTATAATTCGAACCGTTTACAAACCACTTCCTACTAGGAGTATTTTGAATGACTCGATAAAAATCCGATTTTTTAAAATCAAAAACAGACCCGAACCGTAATTTAGTAAACCTAAAATAAAACTGATCCAAATAATGTTAAATCGTAGAAGAACCGAACTCGTTAACAAAACGAACCAGTTATAAATCGAACTAAAATAAAACTGAACTAAAAAAGAACTGAACCGTTTCTAATCGGGATAAAAACCATTAACAAACCGCAACCCGTCTGCACCGAACCGTTTACTACCCGGACCGTTTACAACCCGAACCGTTTACAACCTGAACCGAATTTAAACCGGGATAAAAACTGTTTACACCGAACCGTTAACAAACCGCAACCCGTTTGCACCGAACCGTTTATTACCCGAACCGAATTTAAACCGTTCAAGAACAAACCGAAACCTAATCGAACCGATAATTATTTAAACCGAACTGAAACCGACCCGTAAGACATTTGAACCGATTTCAAACTGACCCGATTTCTAACCGAACCGAAACCGAACTGTCAAACCGTTTTGACAGTACTAGGTATATGTGAGAGTGGAAAAAATTTAGTATGTCATGGTTCTCCCCGCGCGCTTAGCTTGTAGTTGCGTATTAATTATTCTGAAACGGCTGATGGAAAGAGTGTGCAACATCCTGACCCTAAATCAGGATGGGGCCTATTGTCACGAAATGTGCATTAATGGCCAACAACAGTCCTTGCAGACCAACAGAAGTTTTTCCTGTGCATTTTATCCTCACTCCTGCGCACCCTCAGAAAACTTCCTAAGAGTCACTCATCCTAAGACTACTCTTGAAAAATATCTTAGCATACGATCGAGCTCCCTAAAAGAAAGATGCATCATGTTGGTATGAGTAGTATACTAAATTCCTTTTAAAGCAATCATGAGGAATATTACAAAGTGTGCCAATTGTTATAAAATCGAGGAAGTACTGATAGAGTCATGAGTTTTATTATCAAGTAGTGTACGTTCAAATATGTCTTCTACTTACTTAGATCATACCTATTGAAAATGAGCGACCTAAGCGTTACAATGCGCAAATGAGAGTTGAGGTTGGGGAATGCTAGTAAATATAAATGTTTTTTACTTGCTCAACTTCTTATCTACAACTTGTCAATGTCTTATTTATTTTAATCCCTAATTCTCTAGTACATGTTATTACAAATAAGTAAAATTCATAAAATGATTTTTTTTTTTTGTCAGAAATCAATATCAATATTTTATATATTAAAATACACACCAGCAATGACACGTGTCATCTCCCGGTGTGTCCTTAGTTTTTTTTTCTTTTTTTTTAAAAAAAAATATTTAAGTCAAGGAAAAAAAATTAAGAAATTTTGTTTTTTACCACCTTCAAATAACGACTTCATTGAATTTACCACCTCCAAAAAAAAAAAAGTTTTACTTTACCACCTCATAAAAAATAAAACATCAGTTTTACCACCTAAGCCTAACTCCGGTGACGGAAACCGCCAGTAGGCCCACCATAACAGCTAGTTTTTGAAATTATCCCCAAATTCTCTCGATTTCCCTTCTATTTAAACCAACCTTCTTCATTTCTATATCAAATTGTTGAAGATTAAAGTTTTTTTTGCCGATTACAAATATTTAATTTGGGTAGTAAAGTTCATCTTATAAAGTTATAATTTGCTTATAGCTTGGTTTTTGGTCTGATTTGTATCCTCAATGGCTTAAGGATTGCAAACAAAAACGTGCTTGATCTTATAAATACCGAATCCGTGGATGAGCAACAACAATTACTTGTACCTGAGTTGCTTCAATTTCTGTTTCCTAAACCTGAATGTTATATGACTGAGGTTTCAGATTACAGACGGCGACGAAGAATAGTTCCGACTTCTGGAAAAAATTTGTACTCGTAATTCAGAGGTAGTATTGTCATTTCTACTACCAATTTTTCATTGAAACTAATTGTATTTGAACACAATTACCATAATCTAACCCTAATTTTACTGCCCAATTGAAATATCAAATTCCCCCAAATTAATTTACACTTACATGAACCCTAATTATTTACAATATGAAATTGAGTTGAATTAATAACAGAAAACATGCAATTTCAATTATACTTAGCAATTGCAACATAATCACGCAAAAAATTACAAAAAATTACAACAGAATGCATGAAAATTGCTTACCTTTTTGCTATTTGTCGTCGAACAGTTCAATTGATTCAGGGCCGAGTACAATCTTCAATAATTTGATAATTTGAGGATGTGGGATTGTTAAGGATCACCCAAAATCAGAATTTGAAAAGAAAATGGCAAAATAAATTTCAATCTTAACGAAATAGATGTAGATTTGAAGAAGTTAGGTTAAAATCAAAGGGAAATCGAGATAATTTGGGGATAATTTCAAAAACTAGCTGTTATGGTGGGCCCCACTGGCGGTTTCCGTCACCGGAGTTAGGCTTAGGTGGTAAAACTGATGTTTTATTTTTTTATGAGGTGGTAAAGTAAATACTACCTCCTTTAATTATTATGTGCAACTTTGGGGTATTATTTGTGAGATATAAAATATTCTAAAGTTGCACATAATAATTAACGGAGGTAGTTGTAGGGAATATTTCAAGCGTTAATCCCCTAGCTTGAACCCCACTGTGATCATACACTAAAGTACGGTGGCGTCCAAAGGGAAAGAAGATAGAGCAAAAGAGTCGCCAACAAGTTTTTTAGGAACTTGTAAACCGTTCACGAGGTGAAGGTTACACCCCTTAACGATCCAAGAGATCGTCAACTCCATAAGGTCTTGAACCAAATAGGGTTCGGGGATGAAGGTACAAATCCAACCTAAAAGAGATCGAACCTGCCCTAATAATAGGCCTCTACTTTATTCTGATCGTATTCATGTGCGGTTTCTGACTAACATACAATCAATAGAATTACCCTAAACCTATTTATCTATGTTGTTTGAATATTAATGCACAAATAAAACTATTATTGGCAATCACTTGAATTATAATCAAATTAACCCTAACAAGATTATTAATTATCTCATTAAGCGTGATTACAAGTACCAATTCCCTTTAAACATGCATAAAAGGTGTGATCAAGCAATAACAATAAATATAATCAAGCAACATAATAATAAGCACAATAATTATAACAATAATTATAATAACAATAATTATAATCATAATAACAATAATAATAAAAATAATCATGATAATCATAATAACCATGTTAAAGCATAATATTAGCAAGATCCTAGGCATGATACTAACAAGATTAATAACAAACCCTAGCATGTCACTAAGCAATAAAAATCAAAGCTTTAACCCTAACATGATACTAACATGAATAAATATTAGGAAGAACATAAAAGGCATCATACTTTTAATCATACTTGATATTAAAATTACCCTAGACATGATACTAGGAATTTATTGTTGTCACCCTAAACATCAAATTAAGGAAAACATCCTAACATGATACTAGGAATCATAATAACAACCTAAGCATGATTTCTATATCACAATATCAATTAAACCATTAAAGTACTTACTTGGATGCCTCGTACCTCATTCTAATAAAAAAAATACACACATTAGTAACTTCAAGGAAAATAATAAACAAAACAATTAAATTAAATAATTGAAAGAGAGATTTGGGACCAAACCTCAGAAATTAAACCTTTCACGTCTAGGGCGAAGGCAACTTCGAATATGGTTAGGTGTTTCTAATCTAATGAATGCGGAATTTTTGTATTTGTGAAAAAGCTAGTTTAGAAAAAGAGAGAGAGAGAGAGAGAGAGAGAGAAAGAGAGAGTAATCAAGAGAATCTTGATGAGAGTTGGTGAGAAGAAAGAATAAGAATCGGTGATTATAGGTGAATGTGGATGAAAACTGATGATTGTTGATGAATGAAAACTGAGTTTTTACGACGTTATTTATAAAGAAAATCAACCAAAAGATAAAATATCAAAACAGAGTTCTGGCGCAGATAAAATTGAATTAGCACCAACGCTGGCTATTGGCGCCAGACGCCAACATTAGTGCCAGGCGCCAAGCGTAGCGCCAGGCGCTACAGCTGGCGTTTGGCGCTGATTCAGAATTTCACTCGTTTTCTTAAAATCAGATAAAAATTGCCGTACAAGAGGATAAAATCGTATTTCCCTCAAAAAAATGTTCTTTGATTTTAATTAAAACTCTGAAAAGTCAACAAAAGTCAATTTATCAATGCTAATTGAATTAGGAATGAAAAAAACCTTCTAGAAGAATCTAGAAGACTTAAACCATTCCTAATTGCATTAGGAATGATAAATCTATATTAGGCCTTCCTCTAGATCATTGGGCTGCATATAAGGCTCAAACCGGGCCCAGTTCAGTAAACCGGGCCCGGGTTTGGTTTTGGGGAGACACAAATGGGTGTCTACAATAGTATTTTTTTTTGGAGGTGGTAAATTCAATAAAGTTGTTATTTGAAGGTGGTAAAAATCAAATTTTCCAAAAAATTATTTACAAATATCATATTATTTTTTTGTACATATTCCATATTAACACATAGTAATTATTATATTTAAAATAAAAGATTTATTCACAAATCTTTCTAAAAATAATTGGGCAATATATACCAAAAATCACGAGGCACGACCAGGCATCACGAGGCAAGACTCACAGTGGCCTGGCACGGCACGATGCCCACCTTTATAAAAGATGATGGAGTAATTTGATTTGCTTTACTAATCCTTTTTATTCAATGTAGTAGTATAAGTCAAGAGGGGTATTAGTTTTTAGGTAGGCAACATAGCTTGCCCCTTGGCTTATGAAATAGTACTAGATTTATATAACAATACATAATAGCAACGAAATTAGTAAAATGGAGTAATAAGGTAAGTAAAGTAAAAGTCTTAGCTCCCTATTTAATTAAGGGTACACAAGAACTTATAAATAAAGTGATAAAAGATAATAACAAATTGATCATACATCCAAATTTTAAAACCACCCTCCTAATTTTACTAGCTAATAACTAGATATATTTAATTAACTTTTAGTTCTGCAACGACATCCACCATTGATGACCTAAGGTGACAAATTACCTCTAATAAAGGCTTTTCCTTGGGTCCAATATTGGTACCAATTTTCATAGGCGCTTCCCAATCAAAACATTGGATAAGAGTAGCCAAAGCAAAAGTGAAACTCCTAGTAGCAAAGGCAGTCGCGGGGCAAGACCTCTTCCCCATTCCAAAGGGAAAAAACTTGTACCCTTGGGTTTCATATGCAAACCTCTCTGGCTTAAACACATTTGGCTCGTCCCATAGGCTAGGATCCCTTTGTATTGCCCAAGCGTTCACATAGAGCATTGTGCCTTTATCTACATGGAACCCTCCAATAGTGCACTCTTTGGATGAGCATTGTGGGAATAGAATTGGTTCTGGTGGGAAAAGTCTTATAGTCTCATACATTATCCAATGTATGTAGCTCATTTTTGGTACATCAAATTCGTTTACGAGTCTTCCTTTTCCTACGATTAGATCAATTTCGTCCCTTGCTTTTACGATGATTTCTGGGTTGTTTATTAGGTTTGACATTGCCCATTCCAAGGTTTGAATTATACCTTTCGGTCCCGCTAATAGCTGCATCTGATATATAGGAAATCATCACATGGCTTATATGAGTAACACTCCCTCCATTTATATAGTAAAAGGAAATTTTATTAGTTTCTACTTCATACATTAATTCCTAGTATGACAACATCACAATACATTTATAAATATTAACATTAAAGATATGAGATACACACTTGTTAGTAGAAGAGAGTTCATTTTGTCGGTCCTAAAAAGTTTCATCACTCAACCATGTGACAACAATTTAAGTAGCTTCTAAGTCTTATAAAATAAAATGTTTGACCCTCTCATTTTTTTTTAAAAAAAAAATAATCAAAGTGAAATACTTACATTTTTTGTTTGAGAAATCTATACCTTAATTAACAAATATTACACTCCTCCTCACAATATCGACGACACTACATTAATGAATATTTGTTTCTTCTAATGAGCATTGGCCGTCCTTACTTCTTGTGATAATGATTACGATGAACCATAATTTAAGTATTAATAATAAGGGATACTAAAAACAACCTACATAGTCAAATATTTTCTTTACAAATAAATATTGCATTTACTACAATTTTCATAAATACTAAGGTAAATTAGGATATAATCTTTTCTTACCTTTTTTTTTTTATCCTAAAACTATTCTAGTATGTAAGTATGTTAAAGAGTTTCTAGTTGTCTAAAAAATAATACGGAGTATTATAGTGTCATTTTATTTTTCATTTTCTTTTACTTACCACTTCTTTATTTCTATTCGCCACACACTAGCCACATTATATATATATATATGTATATATGTATATGTATATATATATTTTATGTTACAAATAATTATTATATAATTCCCTTTTTGTTTATTATATACTACCTCCGCTACATATTATTTGCAACGATTAGACATTTTTCCTCTCTACTTTATGTTAAATCGTTGCAAATAATGTGTAACGGAGGTAGTATTAATTATAAACTTTCCTATGATTCTATGTTATGATTTACATATGTAAGGATAAATATGTTTAGATGATATTTTGATAGATAAGATCGTATAGGATCAAATCAAATAGGAGATATGATAATTCTCGAAATAAATAAATATCAACTTAAATAATTTGAATCGAACATAATTGATAATTAAATTAATACATAATTAATGACATTACTCATTTGAGTAATCAAATTCATGCATTGACATGTATCATATTTAATTGTAGCAATTAATTAAAAATTTAAAGACTTAACACATTGTATTTCTAGAGGCAAAGGGAGTAATAGTAATCTTACCAAAATGAAACTTTTGATAAATTCATCGGTATAGCAATGGGGTTCAGCAACCTGGAAGTCTAGTAACTGTTCAATCAAATTTTTTGTCACAACTTTCTTGCTACAAGATGATCCTCTTTTTATACTTTCTCTACAATCATCAAGCAAATTTTGTAAATATTCATCTCTCTTTTTCATAATCTTTTTCAAATTTTTCTCAATCCCTCCAAATCCTACCCACCTTAATATGGGAAAGAAATCACACATTGTCATGTAACTAGGGGGTGGTGTCAAATCCATGTGATCCCATGTCTTCCCATTTATTACCCTCATAACAAAATTGTGCGCCATCTTATGAAAAATATTATTTAAGTTCACTTTTCGAGTCCCACCCTCGGACTTGGTTAGAAGCTCTAAGATCATGTTATGGATCTCATCTATCCGAATAGGGCTCACATCATTAAGCTTATGAAAGGAATACAAAGTTAAGTCCCCAACATGTCGGAGATTTCTCCAATTGTCCCCATATGGAGACCAATTAAGGATCGAAAAGTTATATCCTAAAATCTCACCAACAATGAACTTAGGTCGATTAGCAAATATGATATCATTTTTGTCAAGGCATTCCTCGACGGCTAATGGAGAAGAGACAATCAAAAGGGGCTGGTAGCCCAAACGAAGGGAAAAGATTGGGCCGTAACATTTAGCAAGGGTTAGGAGTGTTTTGTGGAAGGGAGGCTTAAGTAGGTGTAAGTGGCCCCATATAGGAATTGATGGTGGACTTGGTGGGAGTTTCATGTCCTTTGCTTTAGAAGGTAGAAAGATTTTTTGAAGGAAAATTATGATTGCTAAAAGAGATAGGAACAGGTACATTTTCTCCATTTCCATGGGTTTTTGTTGTATGAATATGGGTGTTTTTTTTATGTAGGATGTCGTTACATTTGAAAGTGGAGATAGTATATATAATTGAAATAAAGGGTCAAAGATCACTACATTAGACAAAAAAATATATTTATTAGTCTTATGTGGTGGTTAAAGATGATGACAATGCATGTAAGGCATGTGCGCCTTTTGGCAGATAAGGAAATAAAAATACAATAATATTTATTAGAAAATTAATGATTCTTAACATACAAGGAAGATATTTTTTTTTTTTTAAAAAGGTAAGATGAGATTATATCTTAATTTGATTATTCTTTCAAACATATAAATATTTATTAATTAAGGAAACAAAAAATTGAGTACATTAAATCTCTTTAAGTGATTTTTTTTTTTTTTTTTTGTTGTTTAAATCTCTTTTAGTGATTAACATTTAAATATTTGAATAGGAGTATTTTATATAATAAAAAAAAAGAAAAACTAATGCTTCATCTTTTTTTTTTTTTAAAAAAGGAACGTATCTTTTTGACACACACTTTGAGAGAGAGATTAAGCAATATATAACGAAAAATCATATTTTCAAAATAATTTATATAGTAGTACAAGTACTATAGGCACCTTATTGTGTCTCCTTGACCCAAACTTGGTATGTGTGACCTTTTACCGCTAACTAGGTTAGTCCCGTGCGATGCATGGTTTTAAAATAAAAAATGAACTATAGACTCATTAGCACATGTTGAGAGAAAAAAACTACTTTCTAATTATATATGAAAATACAATTTTCAAAAATCCATTATTTTCATATTTAATTAGGAAGAATCAATTAAACTACTTAGTATATTATTAGCTATTTTTAACAACTACTTGTAAATAATAAAATAGCATAATATGCGTAGAAAACCTAAAATTTAAAAATTCAATTTGAATTTAATTTTAAAAACAGTTAAATAAGGTAGCTCAAAATGGAATAAAAATAAAAAATAAAAAAATAATATGACATCATCCTTGCATTTTGGCGGGAAAAAAATTAAATGAGAGAGTGACACGTAAACAATGATGACGTCAGCGGTTATTACTTTAGTAATATTTATAGACTAGATGAAGCCCGTGCGATGCACGGTTTGTTTGAATTTTTAAAAATAATTTTTTTATACATATATTTATGTGCTAAAATTTGTTATATATTTAGATAAAATTCCTAATATGAAAAGATAATATTTTATATTTAATTAATTTAAATTGAAAAATATCATTCGCCAATTTTGCTTACGTGGCGTTTGAATTATTTAATTATAAAAGATTTTAATAATCTCCTATTTAATTGGTTACTACTAAAATTTATAATCCTACATGGCACACTATGAAAATTAGATCCTTTGTGGCTCTCTAAAAACTCGGGAAAAAACTCCCCTTTATATGAAGCCCGTGCGATGCACGGTTTGTTTTATTTTTTTTAAATAATGTTTTTTTTTTGTATTTATGATCCTAAAATTTGTTATATATTTAGATAAAATTTCTAATATTGAAAGATAATATATAATATTTAATTAATTTAAACTTAAAAATCTCATTCGCCAATTTTGCTTACATGACATTTAAATTATTTAATTCTAAAAGAAATTAATAATCTCTTATTTAATTGGCTACTACTAAGATTTATAATCCTACATGGCGCGCTGAGAAAATTAGATCCTACGTGGCTCTCTAAAAACTCTGGAAAAAACTCCCCTTTATATTCCTAATATTAAAAGATAATATATAATATTTAATTAATTTAAACTTAAAAATCTCATTCGCCAATTTTGCTTACATGGCATTTAAATTATTTAATTCTAAAAGAAATTAATAATCTCTTATTTAATTGGGTACTACTAAGATTTATAATCCTACATGGCACGCCAAAAAAGAAATTAATAATCTCTTATTTAATTGGCTACTACTAAGATTTATAATCCTACATGGCGCGCTGAGAATATTAGATCCTATGTGGCTCTCTAAAAACTCGGGAAAAAACTCCCCTTTATATATATATATTAGATTGGTCAGGTTGGGCATTGGAATTAAATATTACTTGAACTCTTGACCCTTGCTTATTTTATCCACCTAATCCAATCCAATCCATTCCTAGCCCAAACGACATCCATTTAAGTAGTTTTCATAGCCCAAATTCCACAATTCTTAGTCCAATTTTCTTTTTTCTTGACCAAAGTCGAAAACTAAGCAAATATGATTTTTGTATCTCATAACTTTAATTCAATCATATTTGGTTGAATAACCCTTGAAATAAGATTTCTAGCGATATATCATAAGCCCAGTTCCAATTTATAAATATATTATTATATGAAGCCCATGCGATGTACGATTTGTTTGAATTTTTTACGACAAGTCAATTTTGCTTAGTGTCATTTAAATTATTTAATTCTAAAAAAATTTATTAATTTCTTATTCAATTGGCTATAACTAAAATTTATAATCTTACATGATGCGCTAAAAAATTAAATCCTACTATACGTGACTCTCTAAAAACTTCAGTTAAGTACAAATATGGGGTCTAAGTTTTAAAGTTTTTCACCTTTTAGGACCTATGTTTTTTTTTTCACCGTTTGGGACCTCATATGCAAATTCCGGTCAAAATTTAATTGACTTGGGTTAAAAACTTATCCCTTAGTTAAAAAACATAGTCCCCTAAAAAGTTGGTAAAAAAAAAACTTAGTCCCCTATAGATAATTAGATACTCATAAATGACACTATTTTTTTTTTTTAATTTAACACCCTATCTTCTCTTAGTGTTGCTCAAGCGTTCCTTTTTTAGTGTGCTGAAATGTAGTTATAATTTTGACGGAATCATGCATACAATTTAAACAAATTACGTATATCATGCCATTTTACACTAATATTATTTTGCTATTCAATTTATATATATATTCACAAACTATGCCGCACCCAGAGTTTCATGCGGCGAGATCTGATATTACAGGAGCTAGAGCATCAACCAACAACGACTCCGATGATGATGACGAAGATGAAGCTCAAAACCCCCTTAAAATTTGATAGTTGAAACGAAATTGGTGCGATTTGTGGTTGCTGGACGCGTTGTGGATGGTGGTTGGAGAACTTGGAGGTGGTGCTGCAATAGTTGGGTGATTTTGGGGGAGGTGAAGGTCGTAGGGGTTGCTGGGAATAGTGAAGATGGCTGCCCAAATGCTGAAGGAGAAATTACATTAAGTTTTATTTATTTATTTATGTTTTTTAAAGAAATTGCAATAAGGTTAAGGAATCAATAGAAGATTACCATCTATTTTTTTATAAAATTTTATTTTTTAAAAAATTATTAACGATTCACCTGTGTTTTTTTATTTGACAGTATTTATGTTGATTTTTTTTTTAAAGGAAGGGATTATGTTTTTTCCCTAAAATGAGTGCTAAGGGACTAAATTTTTCTTAGTTAAGTTAAATGTGAGTTAACTTGCCGGATTCTTAACTCTAGGTCCCAAAAGGTAAAAAACTTAAAAACTTAGCCCCCAACTTTATACTTAACTCCTAAAAACTTGGAAAAAAAAACTCCTCTTTATGTACTATATATTAGATTTGTCTATCCAGTTTTAAGATGTCATGGCGTTGCAAGACTTGTGTGACGCAGTATTTCAAGCAAGGGCAAAGGGACGCCGCGGGGGGGGGGGGGGGGGGGGGAGCTGGTGGAGGCCCGGCCTCCCCGGCCCAAATTTGTGGCCCTTGATTTAACTCTTGGCCTCCCTGTAATATATTATTTATAGTAATGAATACACAATTAATACAATAAATGAAGCTTGTCATATTGGTTAGATAATGACTTTTTTTTCCAAGAAGCCTGGGTTCGACGACACTGCATCATTATTTGAAAGTGAACAAAACATTAAAAAACACTAGATTTTTTTTTACAAAAAAGTTAATAATCATCCAGAAGAGGGTTCCACTTCAAAGGCTAATTTGAATCCCGAAAGTAATTTGAGTGATAATTTTGCTACTATGAAAAATGGTAGAGTACGATTCAACTAATTTTTTTTTGTAACAATAAAATACTAGTACATTTTAATTTTTTCCATCAATCTGTTGTTTAACAAGTCCGGCCCCCATGACTTGAAAATCCTGACTTTGCTCCTGATTTCAAGCGTCACGCCCCCCGAAGTTGATGAAGAACAATCGACATAACACCACTATCAACAACTCCAATTCAAAAGGTAAATATTGTCATACGATAATAGTACATTTCTTGATTATGACTTAATTAAACGACATGATAACAGCATGTATACACCATAACTCTCATTTGCAAACATGCATCATACATTCATACTTCATAAATTAAGTTCCTTGTAACTTACAAGTTACAACAACAAAACTGTACAACGGCTCAAGGCACCATTACCATGATAACCCAAAACGTTTAACAAAGAGAAACGCTAACTTGCATTTCCTCTTAAAACACACCACACTAACATGTTTTTTTAAACTTGGAAACCTCTGTATCCAAAAAACAGAGGATTTTAACATTTATAGGACACTTTTTTTAGTGCCTAGTAAATTTTGTACTTTCTAGTATTACTCCATAGATATCATATTGCAAACTACGGCGTATAAAATTTCTAAAAATAACGAGAAAATGCTTAGAAGAAAGAGCGTTTAGCTGGTGGTCTTCCAACAGCTCTCATTAAGTTGGCTACTTCAAGCACCCTAGCCACTTTGGTTCCTCTCTTTCCTTCTGCGGATGCTCTCCTTTCCTCGGCTTTTCTACGTGCTTTTGCTATGTCGTTTTCCGTCTTTTCCATGGCTTTTGCTCGTTTCTCTTCCAATTTTCTCTGAACATTCACAATTTCGAAAATTTGACAAAGATGAACAAAAATCAGTTTGACTTGTAATAGTTGTAAATAACAACTAACAAGCATATCAAAATTGTTTGTAAAGCTAGTGTGCATGACTTGGAAGTGTGAAGGAAATGATCATACTAATTAATAAACATCACTTGATTTCATTGAAAGACTCTTATCACAATATAGATGGCTTCGTAAATTAGTAACTAGTTTTCATTTAAAGTTTTTTCAGTGAAGATGTTACCACAGGGTACACCGTTTGTGCTAAGAGCATTGAAAAAAATATTGTCTAGGTCTTAAGATTATTTGTGAGTTAAGATCAAGATTAGCCCTAGGTCTTACAATCCTATATAAAAAAAAAATCATAATCTTGATTCACATATTGTCGTAATAATAGTATTTACTAGGAATAATTAAAAAAAAAATAATCCCAACTTTCATCAATTTTGGTAAATAATCCCAACTTTCATTTATTCTGGAATAATCCTAACTTTGGGTGGTTTTCTTTTTCTTCAATCCCAAATACTGGTTACCGGTTGAATGGGTTTCTTGTTGTTTTTTTTAAAGTGACACGTGTCACGCATTTATTAGTTAAAATAAATATAAAAAAAAATTAGCCAAACCCCAAATCCGGCCAACTTGCGTCGGTCGACCCAGCTTCTACTCCATCTCTGGCGGCTGTTGCTACTCCCCTCCCCTGTGTCGATTTCCCCCCTCCCCCAACGCCAGTTTCCCCTCTCCCCCAACGCTGGTGATGCGACCCAGCTTCCTCCTCTCCTTTTTTTCCGCCACCACCACTCAAAAATCCTTTTCCAGCCACCACCACCACTCGAAACTTCCTTTAAATCCCTCCCCAACTCCCGAAAACCCCTAAAATCCTTCCCCCACCATCGAAAATCCTAGTCGCTAGGGTTTCCGCCGCTGAGAAAGTGGTTGTTGGGGGTTTTCGGGAGTAAGGGAGTGGTTTCGAGGGTGTTTCGAATGGAAAAGGATCGGAGGGGATTGGGGGTGGAGGTAGGTCGAAACACTGGCACAGAGGGTTTGGGGGGAAAGGGGAGCACTATTTGGGCAGGGGAAGGGAGGGGTTGGCACGGCTTGCGGTGGCAGTTGGTGGTGGTGGGGGGTTACGTACGGTGGCAGGCAGGGGATTAAGGGTTTATGGTTTTTTTTTTTAAAAAATCAAATTTTTTTACCAATTGCAGCTTGACACGTGGCACATAACCTATTACAATATGTCATTGACTTTCGTTGACCAATTTGATTATTCCAAATGAAAGTTAGAATTATTCTATCAAAATTGATAAAAGTTGGGATTATTTTTCTAATTTTTCCTATTTACTAATGTACCATAACACCTATGTAGCATGCACCTCACAACGATTTGCTAAGTGCTAACAACCTTGTTTCCGTTAAACTATACCCTAACGATGTAGATTTATATGCATTTGACAAAAAACGACGTGCTCAACAAAACAGGAAAACTCAAGTGGTTCATAAGGAGAATACCAATTTATTTTACTCACTATTAGCAATACAATAAGCGCCATTAAACTATAAAACTTTGACGCTAAAGGTGTATGGTATGTGACCACAGGGCATAATCCTAACGATATGTTAAAGTAATATAAGCACACTTCGAAAGGTCCCCCCACTCCTAAGCGCCTTTTCTTTTTCGCCTAACAACCGTACAACTCCATCAATTCTTTTTCCACTAAATCTATTAGACTACTAGCAAGGATGTCATCGCCAACTATATTACTCAAACTCTTAGTTTCATCTCAATAAACCATATCAAATCCTGTTGGAAAGAATGGAAACTGTAACATGTGTTGGACACTTTAATACTTTATATTTTGGGACAAATTATGAAGGTTTTTTTTTTCATAAAATAGCTTAGTCAAATAAATGGATATGTACTTGTGTCAGAAACGAGTACCTGAGTCTGAGTAACATAGATGGTTATTATCTTTGGTGACAATCAAGGGCCACGAAACTCGGGTTCTTACCAATACAATTCTCATTTAATGGATTTCTGTATGGAATAGATCTTTCTAAAAAATAATTTCTCCATTTTTTTTTATCAAGTGTTAATATGATCTTGTTAGTGTAGTTATACAGAGCTATATACCACTTTAATGTAGTTTATATAATATATTGTCTCTCTAAAATTGTGTGCCACTCCATTCTACCCTTTTGTTGGATACTTAGAATTACGTATATCTAATAGATCCAAGAAAGAATTAGGCCAATGATACATCATCTTCTATTGGCATTACTTGCTATTTTCCTTGTCTATTGGTGGGATCACTGAGACAGTGACCACCAACTTCAACTACATCCACACCAATAAATAAAATTGTATATTTTTTTGGTACTTAATTGATACCAATAGTTGATCATAATAATACAAAATTTCTCCACACACAATAACACATTTTTTTTTCCGTCAAAAAAAAAAAAAAAAAAAACATTTTTTTGTATGTACACTTCTAACTTGTTTAATTTTAAGGTGATATGTATGATTTAGATGATTAATGAGACAAAAGTATGGAAATCAAAGGAGTCCTAATAACTTTACTTAATAATTATGCAAACAATTAAACATCCTTCTCCTCAAGCTTAAATATTTAACTAGAAAACAATCAAGATCAAAGATGTATGAAATAGAGCATTTTATAAGCTCAATAATAACATCAAGTCAAACTTCCACTCAGTCTATTAAGAACCAATTTCCAAACTTTTGGCCCAAAAAAGTTAATTGCAAGTAAATCATCACTATTTCAAAGTAAAATAACTTGTTATTTGTACATGAGGATTGTATGTATTAACCACACATGTTTAAGATCATCATCAATAAAACTTGTGTAATTTGAACTCTTAACTAATTTTGAAACACAGTCCATCTATAATAAATCAAAGAGTTGACCTCCTAGTAACGATTTGGATGAAATATCAAGATCAATTTCTTAATCAACTTTCAAAAACATCATGATGCTATGACTAGTTCGCTTACCTTCCTATTACGCATTTGAATTCGCAATTAACGTCTAATCACTTTCATAATTATGGATGACAACCATACCCAATTATAAATTAACCATACTATAACACTAACCAATCATTCAACTTATAATACTATAATATAAAGCATAGACCAATTAAAACTAGCACAAAAAAATGAGAAAGTTAAAAAAAAAAAAAAAAAAAAAAAAAAAGAAAAAAAAAAGAGATTACCTCTATTTTTTTCATCCAAGAATTAGCCTTATGAACTTGTTCATTTTCCCATCCGCTAATTATCGCATCCTCCCTCTTAAACCGATTGTTTATTTTCGAAATCTTAGCGGTTTGCCATGCCGCGATCTTTGTTTCAACCTCCTCTTTTTTTACATGATGTATAGCCATCTCCCCGCCACTATTACTATTACTATTATTGTTACTATTATTATAAGTAGTTGTACTACGACTACTCGATCCCATTAAATGATGACCTAATGATGAATCATTCCTATTCCCTTGCCTTCCGGGAGGGGAAGGCAAAGGGTTAATATCCGGCACTATAGCCAACGGATTAGTCTCCTCGGCCTCCCCCTCCTCTTCTCCGATCCTATCTAAATTTATATTATTATTACTCCGATCATTTCCATTTCCATTTCCATTTCCGTTTCCATATCCATATCCATATCCGTTATTTCCACTAACTTGGTTATTATTGGTACTATAGTCGTTGTGATCAATAGTGGACCCCGCTATAACAAGAGCGTTGAACTCCCTACTCATGGTAGTAAAATTTTCGCTAGAGTTGGTGATGTCGCTTGCCACGGATAGGTTGGATGATCGACGACTAGTAGCATCAAACATACGTTGTCGACTAGGAGGCACGGGGTGAGAAGGCGGTGTTAGAGCATGGATGTCACGAAAATCATCATCGTTGTCATCGTCGTTGTGGTTGTTGTTGCTATAGGAGGGTGGTAGTGGTAGGGCTGGTGATCTTGTGGTTGGTGATTGAGGGTTCATAGTTGACGTGTTTTTGGTAGTAAAGAGAAAAAGAAGGGGTTATTAATTTGCATGATTATTTACTATCATTAAGAGATGTGTTAACGTCTTTGATTAATTAAGGGGAGATGAAGTGATATCAACCACATGAGGATATATGCGAGTTTAATTTGATTAATAGTGGAAATAAATTTTGGAGAATTCAAGAAAAGAAAGGAAAGAGGAAATAGTATAGGCTAAAAAAGTAGTGATGAAAATGTGTAGAAGGGAAACTACATATGACCCACTTTAGTTTGAAAAAAAATTGAAGGTTGGAAGTATGAGATTGACAAGTGATTCATTTAGGGAAGGCCATATACTAGGATTTGATAGTGACTACTAGTGTAATGTAGAGTCTTTAATTTGTTTTCTTCTAAGAAAATTAAAGGCGAATTTCAATTATTATTTTTCTAATTTTTTTTTTCTTTTTAAAAACTGCTATATACATATGCATGATATATGCATATATTAGACTAATAAATAAAATAATTAAATGAGTTACTCCGTATAAAAATGTTGATATAATTTAGTGTGTGGATAATTTAAAATGATTTTTAAGACTCTGCGTATATAATGTATATGTATATACAAATATACAATGTTTTGTTTTGTCCCCTTTTTTTTTTTTTTAGAAAATATACGATGTTTGTTTTTACAAGTCAACATTAGCCATAGTTGACACCAACATAATTGACTAGGGGCTTGGGTAAGGTAGATACCAAAAAAAATTCCGGGATAAGTATAAAATGAGTTTCAAATGGATAGGGATTGGGAATTAGAAATTGAAGAATGATGATATTTGGGAAAATTGATTATGGATGAAAAGTTAGTGTTGAGCCCATGAGAAAATCCACATGTGAGTGAAAGTGTTGTCTCACATTGAAAGAATATAAAAGTGAAGAGAAATATTGGGATGTGTATCCCACATTGAAGAAAAAAGAGAAAGTCTTGTCCAATTTATAAGGCTAAGGGGCTACTCCCCTCATTGCCATATGATTTTAAGGTGGAACCTCTTTAGCGTATAAAGTGGACAGTTGTGACGGGTGTGGCCCAGACCCGTTTATCAGTTAGACTATTGATAATTCCTAAAATTATTATCTTTGATAGTTTGATTAGTCTCCCAACATTATTGTCTTATTCATTCTCTATAATCTTCATTTGTTTTCAAAAAAGTTCAACTTAATTATTGTAAACTTTTATTTTTAAAAATGAATGAAAAAAGTGGACGGAAAAAAATGGAATAAGAAAGATGGGGTAAAAAAAAGTGATTAACTGAACAGAAGTAATTATCAATTGAACATTATTTTAATGATTATGATAGCTTTCCTTATAAAATTAGAAGTGCATGTCGGTGAAAATAGCCTTTTAATCTCGCACGTCATATTCATATTAATTTTATTACATGAAACCCGTGCGATTTACAGTTTATTTAAATTTTTTAAAATAATTTTATGTTAAATTAATTTAAATCGGGAAATCTCATTCGTCAATATACTTACATAACATTTGAATTATTTAATTTTTAAAGAAAATAATAATCTCTTATTTGATTGGCTACAACTAAAATATATAATCCTACGTGGCGCGCTAAGAAACTTAAATCTTACGTGGCTCTCTAAAAACTCGGGAAAAAACTCCCCTTTATATATATATATATATTAGATTTTTTTTTGGAAAGAAGTCCTAAAGGACATTAAATTTCATTAAATAATGTCATACGACATCTACAATTGACAATTAACAATAATGAAAACGAATTTTATCAAAATAAAAAAGAATTAATCAGGAAAGGGCTAAGAATCCAAATACATAAATATAACAATTCGGCACATTCTCAATTCGTTGTCTCATACAACTTTTTGAGTGGATCCGTCGTCGCTTCGCAATTTTGTGAGAAAGTTAATTCTTGTGTTGATTCCGTAACCCGAATTCGAGCCACAATCAATCGTAGCCCCGCACAACCGGAGACCAAATTAAACACAAGTAAAACCTTGTCTTTCGAAGGAGTCCGAAAAACCTTGTCTTTCGAAGGAGATCGAAAAAACCTTGTCTTTCGAAAGAGATAGACTCTTTCTTTCGAGGGAGACATTATTATTGTAACCTAAAAAACAAAAGACTTAAAAGAATTTAAAGATTGGGGCTTTCCACCGGTGAAATCGGATGAAAGCCCCTTCAAAATTAACAATGGAGGCTAGAATTTAGGAGAGAGAAGAGAGAGAGAGGAGGCTAGGATTTTTTTGTCGCATGTTATATTAATAACTACTCTCTTCTTTTTTATGTTTAAAAAAAAAACTTTGAAATTGATTTTTAATTAGAAATTTTCTTACAACTTTGTCTTAGGAAAAATAGAAATAAAAATTTTCATTTTTGTTCCATCTTTTCAAAACAATCTAGCCTTTTGATTATTCCAAAACAATCCCACTTTTGACAAGGATTTTCTTTTAACAATACATGACCGATTTTGTTAGTTTGGTAACAGGTTAATTAGAGGAGGTAACTTGCATGTGTCGATTGTTTAGTGATTGAATTCAACTTTTTAACCTTATTTAGTAAATAAAATAAAATAAAATAAAATAAACGTTAACATATTTGCGTGTTAACATGAACCTTAGTTATTTGTAATATTAATTAATATTTTAACCCGTTTGACTAAATAAGGTTACAAAAGTGAAGTTTTAATTTTGTAAGATACCATGTTTGGCCAAATTTTCACCTTTGACCTAATTCTACAACGTTAACCCAACTCAACATACCCTCAAAACCAATGCAACGGTTGATTTCCAAGGTAGAAAGGTTATATTCATGGTAGTTGGAGGATATTCCGAGTTGGTGAGGGTATTTTCGTGCTTCAAGATGATGGTATATATATTTGGGGTAAGAGGTGTAGTTATTGAGGTTAGTTGGATGGTGGTTTCGACGTGATGGACACAATTTCAAGCAGGTTGTGTTGGCTTTGGGACGATAGCAGTGATTTTGGGTGTGTTTTTAGGTGCGTCAATAGTGGAAATCCAACAAAGGTAGTATTTTACAGCATTTTAACTTTTATTAGCTAGCTTCTTACAACATCTTACATTTTATTAGGTAGTTTCTTACAACATTTTACCTTTTATTAGATTGTTTCTTACAATATTTTTGTTACAAAGTAATTTCTCACAAAATCTAGGTTTTATTTGGTAATTTCTGACAAAAAATACTAATTTTAAATAATATATTTTAATGGTTAAAATAATGCATTTACAAATTAAATTTGCCATTTTGTTAGTTATGCAAGAATAATAATATAAAAAAAAAGTATAATTATACTCTGTATTTCTCGTCTTTTTACCTTTTCTCAATTTTATTACATATAAATTGAATTGTAAATATATTTGTAATTTTATTCATAATGTATATTTAGCTTTAAAATTATAAATCATTGTACGCATTATGAAATATTTGTAGTTATAGTTTTCAATCAAGCATAAGTAATTTAATCTATATGCATTATAAGTAATTTAATATATATATATATTGCGTTAGCACAAATTCATTCTAATGACTGATAAAGCATATAATTCATTTATGGGATCAAACGATCAACTTAAACTTTTTAGTTGACTTCTCTAACATGATAATAAAGTTAATGTGACATAAGGGTCATGAGTTTAAAACTCATCCACCCTTTCTTTTTAAAATTGAGTGTTAAATATTTAATTTGTGTACAGAGTAAAAATTAATTCATAGTTAAAAATCCAAACATAATAATAAAAAAAAAAAAAAGACCACTACTTTTTTATGAGTTTGGGGATGACATTTGATGCTAAACCCTGACGGTAATTTTAATAACCTCAAGAATTTAGGGATGAGGGTGTGAGTCAAAAAAAAAAAAAAAAAAAAAGGGAATGAGGGTGAAGCCACTAATATAAGAACTAGTGTCACTCACTAGTAATTGGGCAAGAACAATACAACTATCCACGTGTCAAGCATTTGAGAGACCATTTACCCACATAATTGATTACACGTGTACTAACTTTAATTTTGGGACCCAATTAGTGGTTACGTAGGTCCCTTCCATGCAAATCGCTGAGGTAAAGCTCGTCTACTTCTGCCACGTGTGCGGTTTAAGTTTTGGAATTTTTTCAGGTTTACTAGATGCCCACGTCTTACGTGATAATTAACGTTATCTTCTCTTTAATCATACTTTTTAGCATAATTGATTCTTGTCGTTTATCACTAATCATACATTACTTTTTGAGCTTGAATGACGACCATTTTATGTGATTAAATTATATGTAAAGCTTGTTCAACATATATAAACAATGAAAAATATAAATAAATCTTAGTTTAATAGGCCCTTTTTTGTATTAATTAAGTTGTCCCTGAAAATAATAAATTCTTTTTATTTTGTTTTTGCTCCATTGGAGTTTTGAGAGATTTTGAGCTAAAAAAAGGCAAGTATAAGACTATAAGATGGAGGGAATACGTCATTTTTGTTAAAAGTATCTACTAAGTTTAAAATACTACTATGAATTTTATCGTGTTACTTTTACGATCTGTAAGATTTGATTGGTGTTATTATTAATTTACAATTAAGCATTAAAGTGGGAGTAAGAGCAGTACAATAGTTGATGTGATTTGTCGATAATGTTTCAATTTTGTCTTTCGTTGTCAATCTTGTCATACTTAATTCAATACTAATCTAAGGTTATACACAGTACAAATTTCCTTGATACATTTTCTATGGGCCGACAATTAGACTACGTAGCTGGCATGCCCATGTATTGTATTAAGATTCAGCATTTCCGCGTGACATAAAGATCATGAGTTCAAATGTCATTCACCATCATGCTAAAGAGCGAGAGAGAGTATCATTTGTGTATAAAAAAAAAAAGTGAGTTTTTATAAGAAAAAGGTGAATAAAGCTAAATAAGAGGGGGAAAAAAGTGCGTGGAGTAATTATTATTGTAGAGTTAAGGAGAACGATAAATAAGAACGGATTAAGACAAAATTGACTAGAAAGAAAAAGGGAGTAATAGTATTAGACAATGTACAGCATTGAATTGAAATGCATCAAATAAAAATGAATAAATAGTTGACAATTTGACATTAATAATTCTTTGAATAAAAATTGAACCAAAGAAATTTCATATGGAGTACATTATTGTTTTCACACACTCAACTAACATAAAGAATCAAAACAAAAATGATTTAATTATTTCAAACTCTCCAATTTATAAACTAGGAGTAATTTGAAAGTCATTAATGTATTTCTCAAAGAGAGATATGTGATCATCAAAAAGCTTAATGTTCAATGAAATGGCACCTTCTTCTTTTGGGTTTGCTATAAAAAACGTTGTCCCTCGTTTATAATTCCACCATGGGCCACTAAATTGGGCTTTCCCCAACCAAAATCCGCTAAATCAGTGGGTAGTTTGGCCCAAGAGTTTATCATGAGATTTGGACATGTAACATGTGGGGCCCCACGAACGATTGAGTCTAGATCCGACTGTGATTCTAGGTAATCAATTGCCGATCTTAAGTACTCTGTGCTTTGAACTTTCATTAGGGCTTCATGTATCTTACTCGCGGAGTACCATACCGGATTGCACGTGATATCACGTGCCTTAGCAATACAAGCAGTAAAGAAAATAACATTTCCAAAATACCCTTGTGGTAATGTTGGACCCTTCAATCTTGAACGCCCATCTATATGTATGTAGAGTTTTACGTCTTGATCACCTGTTAAACCACGTGCTTTGCATGTAGTTCGCCATACCTGCCCGGCTAGCACCTCGTATGTACTTAGATTGTAGGTTTGTGCCTTTTGGGGTTGCAATGTTGCTTGTAGTTTTATGTTGTTAATGTAAAGTTTATTGAAATTGAACATAAACTCCCTTGTGGTTGGAAATCTCACCTGATATTATTGTAAATTTGTAATATAAAGATTTTAGTCATCATTGTTTTATATAATATCACCATGACAATATGTAAGATACATACATACATTTCCCTAATATATATATATATATATATATATATATATATATATATATATATATATATATATATATATATATATATATATATACACACACATTAGTGATACACAATGAGACAATACAACACATATTATGCTATGCATGATCTAGAAAATACTTCATTGTTTTTTAATAGTTGTAACACATAATTTTTCATAGTATCTATGAAATGTGGGGTTCACATGATATAATACACTTTAAAATGAGGTGAATGGATGTTAGAATTGTAATTTAGTGGGTCATATGCTTTAAATAAGGAAAATAGTACATATTTTCTCTAATATATCTTTCCTTTTATAGTGTGTTGCAAGTATTGTGATATTTCTATTTTAGGAAAGTGTTACAAGTATTAAAAAATGGAGGAAGTAAGACATTTTAAAGGGTGAATGTGCCGGCATGTATAATATGCATTGACAAACCTCACTCTGACGAGGTAACTAGTACAAGTAAAAAGTCCCCTCCTATATAACATCTTTGACAAACCTCACTTTGAACATGTAACTACAAGAATAAAGATGTTTTTCAATGCATATAATTATTAACTAAAAAAATTTCCTCCAATTTAATGTAAATAATTATTATACAACTTTAATTTTTAAAAATTCCTATTTAACACTTCATGATTAAAATAATTTTTTTTTTAATATGCTAAAAAAACATACGATCAAACTTGATATGCAAATAATAAAAACAATCGAATATATCAATTATATATTCTGAAATAGAAGAAGTATTATATTCGATTAAAATAATTAAAATTATTTGTCGATCAAACTATAAGTTTAAAAATAGAGGGAGTATTGTATCACTAACCTGTAAGGGTCTTGGGTGTTAGAGGTGGCAAAGGTGGTTCATACTCCAAATGTCGAAACTTGATCTGAGTCGGGACACGAGGAGCAACGTAGACGGCCCGATCATGGAAGGGCTTAACGGGGAGGTCAAGCCCCCTAGCAACTCTTGCCCATGAGACAACAAAGTATGCCGATGCCAATGCATCAACTATATGGTGATGTGTAGCAAAACCCATGCATACACTACCACACTTGAAGCGTGTGACTTGTACCATTAGTAAGGGAATTAACGACAAACCGGCCGAGTAATCGCACGTAGGGATCGCTACCTTGCGAAACCCGGCACCTAAGTCCGCAAGCGTATGCGTTGTTTCCACGTCTACGAACAATGCTCCGGCCGCATTGCAATCGATTTTGAATCGACCATTCTCATCGTTCATTTTTAGTTTTCCCGCTATCGGATAAAATGGTACTAAAACTTTACTTAAAGACTCCTTTAAAAGTTTTGCGTCGAAAACTTTGTGACCCATTTTATTTTCTTTAGGACTATAAACGGCTACAACGTCGGAGTGGGAGTAGGGCGCACGTATCATCATGTCTAGCCTCGAGAGCCAAAGACTTCCCTTCGGAGTCTCCTCGGCCGGGCGCACCATGGTCGACTCTCTTACGTTCACGCTCATTCTTAGGTGATTTAATTTTATGTTTAAAGCTTAAGAAATGCTCAACAATGGAGGGCTTATAAGTTGGTGCATGGGATGCACTTCATATATAGTCTTTTTAGATTGGTCAATAGTTTGGCTACCATACATATTATATATTATAAAAAATTTTAAATTATAAATGTGCGTGAAAATCATTATTGCTCCATATTATATTATTGGTGATATACTTGAAGTATTCTATTAAAATGTGCTGAACGCAACTTGGTAGTTTATCGTCTAAAAATACTAATTGCCGAATAAAATCATATCTCTGACCATATCTATTATGTACAACTATGAAGTTAAATATACTATATATAGTACTAAAAGCATGTTCTTTTTTTTAATATACATTGGGCTACCATGCATAATTTAAAATATAATAGAAAATTGCAAAATATAGGCATACATGTTCAATATTGTGGCATTAATTTTTTTTTTTAATATACATTCGGGTACAAATAAGCTTATCTTTGTTCTTTTGTTGATTAAAATGGTTATTGTTCATTTAATCATCAAACTACGCAAAAAAAATGCTTTGACTGCAGGCAAATGTGCAGCATACACTCGATTGTGATGTTTGTTGTATTACTCTTTGACATACTCTAACTATTCTTAGCTTATATGCAATCTTGTGTTACCTCCATTTTTTTAGTTGACACCATTTGACTTTTGCAATATTTACAAACTACACGTTGACTAACTTTTGTGATTATATATAGCTACGGTATTATATAATTATGTGGCATTTTGTTTGAATCGTCTCAATGTATAATTTATTAATATCCGCTTTTTATAATTTTACAATATCGGAGATATTAATCGTTAAATATTGTGTTAGCAAGCGTAATACTCCCTTTGTTTTTTTAAATGCATCACTTGAGTTTTCACATTTGCCAAGACACAACTTTGGCCATTAATATATTTAATTAGATATTAGTAAAAATTGTAACAAAATTATATTATGATAGTAGACATTGTAACAAATCCAACAATACATTACCATGTTTATAAATTATATAGTAGTGAAAAAATTAAGTCAAATGCAACATATGAATAGTGCAAATTCTCAAGTGATGCATTTAAAAAAAAAATGGAGGGAGTAATAAAAAGGTATCAACTTAAAAAAAAAATAATAATAAAAAAAAAGGTATGCAGTAACTTGTAACACTTTTCCTGTTTTTATTATTCTGTAACACATTTGATTTTTTTTTTTTCATTTTCCTATTTTCACTAGCTTTGCTAATTATAGATGAGGGACAAAAGCATTTTTTGGGATCTTATTATATTTTTACCCATTTATACTTCAAATATTAGTTTAGTAATTAAATATATTGGTGATTGAAAATAATGCACGCACCAGCGAGAATGAAATTAAAAGTGTTGCAATTAAAAAAAAAGGAAAAATAAATCACAAACTATTGCGCCAGTTCGGACTGTCGAAATGTTTTATCAATTCGGACCGACGAAATGCTGATTTTGATATTCTCAATTAACTAAATCATATCCTCTATTGACTGGATGATATCCTCTATTGTCTGGATGATATACTCTACTGGATAGATGATACTCCCTCCGTTTTTAAATACTTGCTCCACTTTCCTTTTTCGGCTGTTTTATAATACTTGCTCAATTTCCTTATTTGAAAAGCTTTTACAATATTTAATTAATTTCTCTCACCAATAGACCCAACATATTAATTCCATATTCTCTCTCCTTCAATTCTCTTCACTACTTTCGGTTTTTTTTAGAAAATGTTGACAATTACCACCTACTCATGTATAAAAGCGTAGGTGGTAATTGTCAAAAATAATAATAGCAGGTGGTAATTGTTAAAATGGAAAGAATAGTAGGTGGTAATTGTCAAAATATCCTTTTTTTTTTTGGGGAAAAATTGCTCCCATTAATCTAAACTTTGCCTCGTCCGCCGAAAATAATCCCAAGTTCAGTTTATTATCTATCACTCCCAACTTTGGGGGGTATTAATTTTTGTTGCACCCAACAGGTCATCTAACCTGATGTAGCAGGTTACCTAGACACGTGTCAACACGTGATAGGTCCACACAAAAAAATAAATAAATAAAAATTAAAACAAAAATTAAAAAAAAAAAAGAAAAATACCCAGCCCCCCACCCTATCCTGGAAAACACCACACCCCCACCCCCTACCCCGCCGGAAAAACCACCCCTTCCCCGAAAACCCCTCCCCCGCTACCGGAAACCGCCGCCCAACCACCCCTTCCCTTCCCCCACCCCCGATAACCCCTCCCCAGCCCCTGATAACGCCTCCCCAGCCCCGATAACCCATCCCCAGCCCCCGATAACCCATCCCCAGTGTAACACCCCCGATTTACTAACTAATAATAAACAATAATTAAATGAAAAATAGACAACCTTTAAATAAAATAGCGGAAGCATACTCCTAAATCGGAGGTATTACCGCCCACTCAACAACTTGTCAAGTGTTAAGGCTTACAAAATCCCAATAATTACAACCCAATAAATCTAGGTGAGCTATTTATACAACTTTACAAACTTGTTATAACAAACTAATTGAAACACTTGAGCTCCTTTAGCTACGACCGCTTGATCAACCTGTTTAGACAAACTTGACTGCTCACCATTAAGGATAAATTCCAAAATAGATCGTCGCAGGGCTACCATAAGAAAAAGACATGGCCGCAAACACAAGTAGCACAACAAAATAACACACACGTCAGCAAAAAGCTGAGTAATCATCACATATCAGAGTATATAGAGTATAATATAATAATTAATATTACTAGATCAATTAAACAATGTAGTTCGAAACTACATTACACATTTTACTCTGAAAAAAATACCTTTATCAACTCAACCTCGAATAATAATTCGAACCTTTACTCAATCAACTCATATAACCCATAAGTGTGTCATGCTCGTTGTTCTATACCTAGCCTTGGACATGGGTAATTCGAATAAAACCAACAATTATAAAAACTTGAATACTCCCAATAACCAGAAAACACCTTGAACCAGACCACATACCGGTCAATTCCCACTGTAGGGGGCCATAAAAAAATAAATATAAAGATTGTACCTCATTCTTAACTCATGATTATCATCTCATTACCAACATGCCAAGGACTAAGGTCTATAACGCCGAGCCTCAAACCAAAAACAAAAATAATTCTCAACCTTTTGATCTCATATATCGATCAAATAATTATTCATAAACAATCTCAACAACGGCACAGTTCCCAAATAATATAATTCGATTAATAAATATCTCAACTCTAGAGGGCAATCAAACTAGTACCCAAAATTAATCAAATCTCAACCCAAAAATAATAATACAAGTAACTCTAAAACCTCGAAATGATAAAATTGCTGAAGTGCACTCTAATATAGCAAGCTGAAAGAAACCCAACTAAAATTACCAAATATCGAATTATATTTATAACATATCTAATCTACACTCTTATGTAATACATATTGCATCAAAAAAAATGTTGATCGTACTTAGTGGATGCGCATCATTAAAGTCGCATACTAAGAGCATAATTCACAATACTCGACTAATCAATAAGATACAATCAAATTATACACAAAACATCAAAAGCATATGAAAATTCACTAGTACAAAATTGTTAGACAAAATAAAGAATAATTAAAACCCAAAAACTATCAAGGGATAAGCATGATAACCATAATAAAAAGTACAATCAAATTATAATCAGACGTGTGATTACATATACTAGTAGTAGGAACATCTCTATATAAGTTCGTGTGATTACACATATTAATTAATACAATCAAATTAATCAAACATCTCCAAATTGATAAAGTGTGATTACCTTTCAACAAATAACAATCAAATCACAATATTCAAGGCAAGGTATATTGAGCACTGTTACAATCTGCGAGTTTTGCCTACACAAATCCAATGGAGTTCGGAGAATAATGAAGAAAAACTTTTATGAATAATCAAGTTTGGGTTGGATCATGGAGGTTACGCACAAGCTATGTACGGCAAACCCCCAACTTTTTTTATATATAAAAAATATCTTTTGAGAGGTAAATAATATTTTTTGGGTTTAAAAATAGTTTATATACATTTTTGAATTGTACAGTGCTATTTAAATAAGATAGGGTTTTAAAACTTTACGAAGTCTAAATAAAAAATATGAGATTGGAAAAGTTATATAATAAATAAAAATAAACTATATTTTTATAAAATATTTTATATAAATTCATAAAATATTCGGGTATTACACCCAGCCACCGATAACCCCTCCCCACCCTCGAAATCGGCGAACGCAGCCACGAAATCGGCGATGCCTATGCACGAAATCGGCCACAAACAGCCGAAATCGGCCGGTTTAGGGTATTCAGCCCCAACATCGGCCATTTGTGGCCAATATCGGCCATTTTTGGCCAACGGTGGTGGTGGTTTGATGTGCGGCGGTGGTGTTCGTGTGGTGGTGGGTGCTGCTGGGTTGTTCTACTTTTTTTTTTTTATTTTTTTTTACATTTTTCTTTAATTTTTTTTTTAAATTTTTTACTTTAATTTTTTTTTATTTTAATTTTCTTTATTTTTCTCAACCAATTACATATTGACACGTGTGCAAAAAATAAAAAAATCACAAAGGTTTACCTGCTTTACCGGTTGCAAGTCATTTGGGTGCAACGAAAATTAATACCCCCAAAGTTGGGAGTGATAGATAATAAATTGAAGTTGGGATTAATTTCGGCGGATGAGGCAAAGTTCAGATTAATGGGAGCAATATTTCCTTTTTTTTTTACAATTTTTTTACAATTTTTTATCCTCTATTAGCTATATGATATCATGGTTGGATGATATCCTTTATTGGCTATATGATATCATCCAACCATGATGTATCATATAGCTGATATAGGATATCATCCGGCTAATAGAGGAATCATCTGGCTAATAGAGAATATCATCCCGCC